TTTAAAATCGCCTTATAAGGAAATTTTCCTTTTATAGGATAGATCTACGTTACACAAAACGTCCAAAAAAGGAAATTTGGTAACACTAACTTCCTTATTTGGACATTTGTGTAACGTTACATTGCCATAAAAGGAGATTTTCCTTATAAGGAGAATCTCCTTATAAGGAGATTTTGAAAATTCAAAAATCGAAAAATCAATTTTTCGAAATTTTGGCACTTTTCGTTCAAACGGTACACCGTATAAAAATAAAAAAATTATAAAATAAAAAAATAAAAAAAATTATAAAAATAAAAAAATAAAAAAAAATTAAAAATAAAAAAAATAAAAAAAATTATAAAAATAAAAATATAAAAAAAATTATAAAAATAAAAAAATAAAAAAAAATTATAAAAATAATAAGAAATTATAATATTTTAAATTTCTTTCTTATTAATATACTAATAATTTTTATTAGTCCTAATAATAATTTATTTTCCATTAACTAAAAAATTCATCTTATAAGGATGGGTTGTATTGAATTCAATAAAGCAATAGGTTATAAAAGATTTGCCATATTAAAGAGAAATGGTTTCCCTTTAATCTCATGCCATCTTCTACTTCCAAATCATGTAAAAAGCTATATGTTATAATATTGAGCATTTGCAATATTCAAGTAGATTATTAATATTAGTAATAAAATCAATAATCTTAAATAATACTCTGATTTTGGCCAACATGTGTCTTAAAGAAATCATGCCTTCCCTACTATCATACAAATAGAAAAATTTAAGTTCTTTTTCAACTAGTGTCTTGAGGAATTAAGGAAATATATAATTGAATAATATAATTCTGAAAAATTTCTTATATAAATGTAAATAAGTTCTAGAATTATTTTTTTTTAATAATATTGTATCAGAAAATGAGATAATTAAGGGTGTTAAATTTAATAAAGGAGAAAATAAGATATTTATTAATAAAATAGAAAATATTTTTTAAAAAAAATATTCTATTGAATAATAAATGCATTTCTCTCATACCTTCCTATCACTAAGTCTACCAAGGAGGTACAGAGATACTGTAAGTATAATAATATAAAAAATTAAGCTAATTATAATAATATGAAGAATAAAATGTATAAAAAATAGAAATATAAAAAATAGAAATATAGTAAATTTGTTTTAAAAAAAAAATAAGAGTATAATAATATAAAAAATTTAAATAAGTATAATAATTCAGTTTTAAACAATGTAAGAATTGACAATTATGAATATCATTAATATAAGATTGACATTCAAAATCATTTTTTCCCTAATAATTACAAATCATGATGTTACATTTACTATTTGTTGATAACTCTGTTTATTTACTGGGATTATTTTGGGAAATTCTTGAATTATATACTTGAAAAATTCTGACTGATTTGTTGTTTGGATAAATTTTGAACTTCCCTTTGCATTCAATCAAGTAATATAGTTTAACTCTTTTTAAAACCTGATAAGTTTGTAGTCTCTTTCACTGTAAAATCTGCATGAGAATCCATTAATGTAACAAACTATGAGTATTTTTTGCATATGAAATATATAAATCCAGAGTCTGAACTTTTTTATCACAATATAATTTAATAAGGAAAAAAAAAACCCCAAAAATTCGTAAGTGAGATCTCTAAACCTTTGGGATATGAACAGGATTTTTCCTGAATAACAATCACATTATGAGCAAGCTTTGCAGCTGTACGTTATTGTTTCAAGGCCAAAATGGGTTGTCTTTTGCCCATAAGTAATTGCAAGGCCTGCCTTTGATTGTATACTGGCCAAAATAATATGTTTTTTCACAAGCATTAAACCAACTATAATCTGATCTGAACTCTGTTTACATGCATTTTTTGAAATGTAGTGCTGTTATTTTCATGGCTTTCAGTGCTGTATGAGAATCATCAAATCCAATAAATTCAACTCTAAATTTTTTTCTATGTTGAAAATCTTCGTATTTGAAATGAGCTGGTGCCATTCTGTACAAGTAACTATTAATTCAATTGACCAGAAATTTTTGATAACATTAAGTCCTGTAACATCTTTGACTATGAAATAATAAGTGCATGAGTCAATTTTGACCATTGGGGTAAAATTTTTGAAAAATATCAAACAATATACCATATTATGGAAGTTTTTGCTTTAGTAATACAACCAAAAATGAATAATCTAATTTTAAAAAAATGAAAAGTTGTAAAAGTATTTAAAAATACTGTATTCATATTGAAATAAGAAAAATTTTGATGCAAACTCTTTCTTGCATGTTTCTAATGTTTCTAGGATGTCACTCCCATTCACTTCTTACTCCCGCAGCTTATTAGTAGTACTGTCACTGAGCTCTAAGTCCTTTTTGGGATTCCATTCTTGTAAAAAGGGTGATGAGTTCGTCTGTACCATATTTCTGAACGATTTTAGCAGAAAAGTAGAACATAGCAGTAGGAGAATTCTATGAAACTATGAATAAAAGTTCATGATATACTATGCCAATATTCAGCTTTATTTCCCTAGAATCAAAAATAGATGGTGGTAAATTGCTAAAGTCATGCCTATAATATTTTTAACATTAATGAACTTATTATTCTATATTGTATACTAGCCATATCAAAATCAACTGAGTAATATAATCTTTCCAATAGAAATATTGTAAAAACAATAATTATATTAGTGGTGTATAATTGATTTGAGCCAAGACTCCTTTTTTTTTAAATTGTGTTACATACATTTTTCAGCTTGTCTTAAATCCTGTGATAAAATTCATAAATCATAATTTATGATTATCTTCATTCATATTTTGCATTTTGTATTATTTCATTAAGAATATACAGTACTATGTTATCAAATATCTAGATTTTTAATTTATAGAACTGCCATAATTCTACTTTATAAGAATGATAATAAAGAACCATATGTAAAGTAAATCCAGATCATAAGGCAAAGGTCATAATTGCAGTTTTTTTGCTTTTGCCAGGAAAAATAAAAATATTACCAATGGGAAAATATTTGTCTAAAAGGCTTGGCATTAAAAATGATAATTAAAGAAGTTTAAGATAGAGCTAAGTTCGGAGTTACCAGCTTCAGTAGTAACAGTGACAAATCCAAAAACTATAACAAAAACTCCTTTCACATTAAGAATAAATATCTAATAACCTTTAAAGTGTATTGCACTAGGTTCGACTGTTTTTGTAATTTTCAAAACTATTTTCCTTTTCTTTCCTGGCCAATATAAATAGTTAACTTCTGATCCATTTCTAAAGCCTTGATTCTAGCAATCTTTTCATTCAAATCCGTGATTGATTCACCAGAACTTTCGTTTAATATGTCTACTTATCTTGCTTTGTCCTTTTCATTTTTTTTAATCTTTTTACTATCGAAATGGATACAGAGAAACTGCTTGTTTTTCTGAATCCTTGAGAGGGCGGGATCCTTTCCAGTTAGTATTATGTTTCTAGCTGATGATTTTTCTTTGCCAAAATAGCGGCTTCATGATTTAACAATTTGATTCAATTGCTCAAGTAAGGCTTTGGTATAATAAAATTTGAATTTGTTTAATATAAACTGAAAAATTACTATGATATATTAATAATTAATAGTATATTTATAAGTTTCTTTAAAAAATTCTAAATGACTGATTATATTCAGAATAATATAGTATAAAAATTTTGCTTAAATGATTTAGTATCATCATGAAGATTTAAAAAATTTTTTTGCAGATTATGAAGATTTAAAAAATTTTTTTGCATATCATCATAAAGATATAAAAAAATTATTTGCAGACATTCGCAATGTAATAACGATGCCATGAATGCCATAATTTTGTTGCAATAGTAGGAGGTGGATATTCGGCTTTGGAAACTGTATTTTGATCAAGTAGTAGTAAAGATTGGGCGTGAGTCGCAAAACTATCATCTATTTTGAACTCTTTGTTTCCTTTCCATTACTTGTCGTAATACTGTTCTTTTTTTAAAGAAATATTCATGATTAGGTTTATAACCTTTATATTTAATATTTAATAAAAAGAATTATCATTGCTCTTTGTATTCTGTTTATTGATGATTTTTTATAATATTGTCTATTGCATTTTTGATTTTTTTCCAAAAATTTTATCTATTCTGAATCTTTAATGATTTCTATTATTTTAAATTTGTCCAACATTTATATGTAATATGTTGAATCTCAAATAGAAAGTAAATAATTTTAACAAAGATTACAATTCCAATAAAATAGATATTTTACTATTAAGTTTGAAATCTTCATGTTTTAATCCTAAACTTATTCTATATAATGATGTACTTTACTGAAGTAGATCTTTTATAAATAAGTCCTAATATTTAGTTTTTTGAATTGTTTCTGTAACGAATGTCTATAATGCTCTCCAGATAAAATTCAAGAAACATAGAATTTCCTATTGTAACCAAAAGAAAAACATTCGTCTGATGTGAATCCAATGTTATATAAGAATGCTTATTATAAAGTAATTTAAAAAAATGTGGTTATCATTTCTTTACAACACTCCCTTATTTTGGGAAAGTAAAAGAGACCACTTGAATATAAAAAGATAGAAGCAATTAATTTTTCTTGTGGAAAGGCGAATTGATCTTGTAATTTTTGGGTCTCCATTGCAAGTTTCATTTTGTATGCAAATTTCCGTATAATAGGAAACAGACTGTACCATCTAATTCTAAACAAAGTGTGACAAGAATAGATTATAAAATTCTTCATTGAAATTTCTATTAATCTAATTATTTCATATACCTGAGGTTGGATTTCTTTAAGAATTTGAGTATAATTAATTTCTATATCAAAAATATATCTAAAATGAAATTTGTGTTCACAAAATTTATTCTCTGAGATTAAAGATATTTTACAAACAGTAATTAAAACAGTTTTCTTCTTTAACTATTAAATATGTAAAAGAATGGACTATATATAAGTTTATTTTATAGTTTTTAAACTGTGTTTCAACAAACATATATATTTAATATAATTAATTTAGCCTAAAACTTAAGATTGATTTTACAGATCTAATTTTAATTAAGAAGTGCTGCAATAATGACTTTCTTTTCCTTCTAGTCAGGTGTCTTATAACTTAATTTAAATTAATATATTATGTAATGTTTCCTTTTCTTGTCAATTGTATATTGATTTCTATCTAAGTGAGGAAGATCATGAGCAATAAACAGTTTCTTTAAACCCTTATCTGATGATATATTTGAAGTCAAAATTTCTTCAATTTTTAAATGAAAGCTTAATTATGAAGATGTGTTATCTAATGAAGGAAAAGTAAAAATGGGACACCTAATAAACAAAAGAAAAATTATATAAATAAAAATTGAGTTATATATCTATTAAAATAGTAGGTAATGATGAATTAATAATTATCAAATATATTTGTTCATATTACTATTTTAATAAAAAATTTCATGCATATTTTAGATAGGGATAATGATAAATATAGTAATTCACTAAAGTTTCAAGTAAGAAGAGTTGATAAGATTAAATTGTCATTTAAAGATTATTGATTGTACAATATAATTGCATAAACTTTAACAATCCTATATGTTATGTTTGAATAACTAATCAGAATATATTCTTTATTGCTCTCTTCAAAATCAATCTTGATTAATAAATTCAGTATTTGCATATTATTGTTAGTGTTTAATTCCTTGACATTTACATACAAAAAATGGTCAGTCTTTGATTAAATGCATCCATCAGATCCATTTATTGCATTTATTGAGTATTGTATCTAAAAGAAGAATATAGATGTATATAATTGTTTGGTCTAAAAAATTATTTGGAATAAGAAAAGCTTGTTAACATAAAAATATGATTAAGTGGGTTTGGTGTGAATATGAATAAAGTGAACGTTTAGTATTATTTGAATAAATTACGATCATTTATAGTTTATCAATAATATGTTGTTATTAAATTAATGAAAATTCAATCAATACAAGTAATTAAAATAATTTTGCTAGTCCATCTCGGTTCTAGCTTAATCTTTGAAGAGAATACATGGATAAGAAAAAATAATTTATTATTTTATATTAATGCTAAGGTATATTTTGGATAATTTTCATGCATATAAGTATTAAGTGGGAGTAAATTTTTTATTTTTAAGAATGTTAATTTGCTGGAATTTTTTTTTTAATAATAGAATATTAACATTTCAGTAAAGTGGGTGATTAAATACAAGTGTTGAGTAGAAGTAAATTTTTTAGGTTGAATAAAAACAAGGGGTTTATATATACAAAAATGTGGCAGAGCTAAAGGTGACGCATGGCGCAATTTTTTTGGCAAAATTTGGGCTATGCAGAAAACGGGGCTTTTACTGTAAATGTAACAAACATTAATCACTCATATTTGATAGTCTAATGTACAAAGAAAGTTTTATATTATAATAGGACCTCGAAATATATATAAAGGGATAAGGTAGCGACTAGCGAGTATGCGTATTTTTGACACAAAAATTATGTAGATCTTCTTTTTTTTAGATAATGCCAGTCAAAATTTTATTACCTATTTAGTAACTGACTGAGATTAGCATAATTTCGGCCCTGAAAAACAATTTTCTGAATCACATATATATTTCGGGTCCTATTATCGTTATAATTATATAATTATTATATACAAAATCATAAAACGCTTTATAATATATGATTTAATTCCACTATTCTTTGTTTGAAAAAAGCAAAGCCCCACTTCAGATATCTGATGACGTCAGCATTTTAATTTTTATATAGTATATGATATTTTTTAAGGTGTCAGTTACTGAAATTAAATTCAAATTATAAATATTTTTCAGTCTTAAGATATAGTTTTTCGAGTTTAAGTCAGAAAACTTAAGAAAGATCTTTATATCGTTTATTTTAAGCATATGTATATTATTATTGTCGTTAGATTTCACTATGGTATGGTGAGAGTTTACAAAAAATCTTTTTTTTTCATTTTGATAAACTTCAAGTATTAAATTTTCATAAA